GGCACATTTTTGGTAGTCTGTCAGGTTCCATCGAGAGGATCCTCCACCAGTAATTAAAGACTTTCATTACTGTTAGACTATAAATGGAATGGGTGCCGATTTCAGCTCTTACTGCTGATGCAGGTATATTCCTGTCGGTCCCTAAAATAGTTCTTAAAAAGCATGCTTTTGTTCCAGTAAGGAGGTCTTTGATAGTCCCCACAAATCTACATCATATGTTAGCATTGGTACAATTTTTACTTTGTGGACCTTTAGAATGGGGAGCAGAGAACTTGGGTGGCTGTAATTAAGTCATTTAGTTAGCTTTTTGGAGCTTATTGCCTTTATAGGCTGTACTCCTAACTCATGTACATCTCACAATTATGCTTTATTGGGAAAAAGTTACAACAAGGTTAACTATTAAAACCTATAACTCCTATATTCTTTTATTCAATTTTACTCCACCAGTCTCATGATTCTCAGCAGTTACAATGTCACAATAAAAAGAACAGAATTAAACATACAATCCAAATCAGGAGCAAAAAGCAAGAACAAGAAGTGCAAGTGGTGCAACTGAAAAGCTCTTTGAAAAAGCTGTTATGAATGACTTCCTAAAAGCTACCAGGGAGGGGGCCAGTCCGAACTCAGTAGGGAGCACATTCTGTAGCTTTGGTACTGGAACAAAGAAGCAGCATCTTCTAGCTTCACCAGAAATTCGGAATAAGGAGCACCTTTCTACATGATCTAACAGGTTGGCCCGAACCTGGTTGGAGGAAGCAGTCCCGTAGGTGCCCAAGTGTCAAGCCATGAAGGCTTTATAGTACTTTCAGTTGTATTTAGAATTGGACTGGTAACCAGTGCAGGACTGCAAAATAGGAGTAATATGCTCCCAGTGTCAGAAGCCAGTTAAGACACAGGCCTTAAAGGGAACCCTAGGTAAAGCACACTGCATTAGTCTATATAGGTGATAATGAGAGCATGGATTCTTGTCACTAAGTCCTCCTGCATTACATAAGGGTGCAGTTGGTGCACCAGCCAAAGTTGGACAAAGGCCCACTACCCACAACCTTCACCTGTTGTTGAAGCAGGAGTCAAGAGTCCCAAAAGATCCCCAAATACAAATCTGCTCCTGGATGGGTAACATCTGTCTATCCAAGGATAACAGCAACTCCATCTCATTTGGGTTCAATGTGAGCCTGTTCTCTCTCATCCAGTCCCACACAGCCTCCAGGAAGCAGGAGAGAACATCAATAGCATTCCTCCCTGAGGTTGGAATGTATAGTTGGATATCATCAGCATACTGATGATACCATACCCCAAATTGTTATATGTCCTCACCCAGTGATTTCATATAGATGTTAAAAAGCAGGGAGCCAAGGACTGAATCCTGTGGCACCCCATAATTGAAGAGCCACCAGGCATACCTCTTCTACACTGCAACAGATTGAAACTGTCCACAGAAGAAAGAACAGAGCCATTTAAAAAAATGCTCCCAATCCCAACTTCCACAGGTGGCCCAATAATATAGCATGGTTGATAGCATTAAAAGCTGCTGAGAGATCTAAAAGGACAAGGAGAGATGCACCACATCTAGGAGAGTAACTGATATAATCTCAGTCTCATATCCAGGCCTGAATACAAACTGTAAAGGACCCAGCTAATCCCCTTCACCTCGGATGCTGCATGGCTGATCTGCTACCACCATCTCAATAAAATGATAAGGTTGGAGACCAGATAATAATCATCCAAGGATCAAGAGATAGCCCTTTCAGCAAAGGGTGCACTATGGTGTCTTTCAAGGTAGCTGGAAACTGCCCCTCACATAACAAGGCACTGAAAATTTCATGTATCCACATGACCACCCCTTCACTGGCTGCAGCAGCCAGGATGGGGAGGGATCTAACCATCATGAGGTAAAAGATAGTCCAGATGGCACCTTATCTGCTTTGCTGGAGCTCACAGGCCAAAAATCTCAGGCAACAGAACAAGATGATGCTTTAGTCACCACTACAGACTCTTCCCATGCAGAGTCAAGACTGGTGAATCCAAACATCTTTGTCAGCAAAGTGCTATGCAAATTGGTCACAAGCACTAGATGAAAGATCTCTCTCTCTTTTTTAACCACCTATTTTTAATTTTTTTCAAAAATATTTTTTATTATTAACTAAATAAAAAAAAGAAAAAGATTACACAAAATTATAAAACTTTTAAAAAGGCAAAAAAAACACATACAAAATATATATTTACAGACATTGATATATTGATAAATTGAAGCTATGACTCAATACAGTCAGTGGTTTATCTATATTAATTCTGCATGCTGCTAAATAGTTGGAGCCATATACATATATACCTGTTTCCAATACTGAAAAAAAGTGTTTTGATTATGCTTTTCTCTGTCCAAAAGTCAACTCCCACATGACAGATAAATTTCAAGTTAATATATAAAATTGCTTCTTACCAAAAATAGAACAATATATTTAAATAAAGTATTAATTTCACTGCATCTCCAACAACATAAATGTAATATGGTCATTTCTGAAATATTGTTTCTTGTTAAAAAAGATGTGATCTAAAGATCAATTGAAATGTTTGGGTTCTTTTAAAATCTGTTCTTTTTTATTAGTTAAATAAAATGTTGAAGCAATAACAAATGGCAAAAAAAAGATACATATCTATAAAGAAATTTGAGAAAAAAAATTAAAAAGCAAACCAGACAAAATAAATAAAATGTCCTGTCTACAAAAGAGTGTCATCTGGCAGGACCCAGGAAGAGAGTCTTCCCTGCCCTGGTGCACACCCTTTGGAACATTCCCCCAGAACTTAGATTGGCCTTGACCCTGGCAGCCTTAAGAAAGGCCCTAAAGTCATGGCTCTTCCACCATGCTTGGGGGTCTGGCAACAGTGGGGAGCTTTTACAATGACTTTGTTGAGTTTGATGCATGGATGGACTTTGGCTACTGACCATGGTTATTCTTATTTTAAAGTGGTGATCAATGTTTTAGTATGTTTGTATATTCACTTTTAACTTATTTTTAATTGGATTGTTCTTTTAACTGTTGTGAGCAGCCAAGAGTCACTTAGGTGAGATGGGCAGCCATACAAACTGAATAATTAAATTAATTCTGGTAGCCCAATCCCCTTGCTTCCCCCTGCCACTAATTGTTACTTGGATTTTTTCCCCCTGTACTTCACTTTGGACACTACTCATTTCTCTTCGGATCATTTTAATTATTACTGTTATTATTTAAAAGTTTCTCTTTTTCTTCAAAAAACATTCTAAGTGTCTTAGCTTGCTCTCCTGTATGATATTGTATATAAAGGAACCATTCCTGCTTGAAATTGTATAGACTTCTGCTGTCAATGTATATTGTCATTCCATTTTTCCATTATTGCATATTCTTCAATTTTAGTCTCCCGATCCTGTATTAATGGCAAAATTTCTCTTTTCCAATGCTGTGCCAGATTGATTCTTGCTGCTATCACCATACATCTTAATAAATTATGATGCTTTTCTTTTATATTCTCTGGGATCATACCTAATAAAAATATATGTGATTTTAATTCAAATTTTGTTTGAGTTTTGGTGTATTTCTTTCCAGTACTTTGGGGGGTTTTAAAGATAACTACCACAAATGATAAAACATTCCTTCTTTGTTATGGCATTTCCAGTACACCCTTAAGTATAAAAAGGAACAAATCCAAATATTTCTAGACATCTCTCCAAGCATGCTAAGAAAAGGAAATAATTTGTACTTCTCACAGAAGCACTAAGACTCAAGCTGATCAGATCAGGTGGAAAATTCCATTTACTGTGGAAGTCTTCTTGAAAATGAAAAAAATATCCACCATATCTCCTTGAGCCCAATACTATGTGATACAACTTGTACCATCCCATTTGACTAGGCCTCCCATTCCTAAATACTGTAGGCAAAAACGAGCTTCCATGTCTCCAACCAGAGATTCAAACAGTCCTATTGGCTAGCCACTCAGTTGAGACAGGCACGTTCACTTTTACTTACAATAACCAAAAGCCTTTAAAATCAAAGTATCCAAACCTTCCCCCACCCAAGCATCCTATCCCAATGACTGGGTGCATATGTCTCACCCCCAGTCTAAGTCACAAAACAGACAGGGCCACAAGGTCTACTAACTTATCTTCCACCAAGATAGTTCCGATTAATCAGCAGAAGGACAATCCAGGCCAATGTATATCTGCAGGGGGTAAAAGCAATACATCTCTACCACACAGCACTTCCAGTACCAAAACTCTGCAGGCCTATAAACCTCCTGACCAGGCTTGAGAGCAGTCTCTACTCTCAGCTTCTCTTTGCCCTCCATTGACAATAATGAATGCCTAGGTCAGTGTAGAACAAACTAGGTACACTTTAGACAATGGTTGACCTGCTGCTTCCCAACTGTCAGAATGGAGAATACCAGTCCAATAGTCCAAAACCACCAGGGGATCTCTAACATCCCAATTCAAAAGCAAGTCCAAACTCCCTGGAGATTACAGCCAAGATGGCAGCACCTCATAAGTTTGCTCTATAACTTAGACCAGAAGGAGCTGGTACCACCTTTTCCAACTAACTAATTTTAGTAAAAGGTACAAGCTTTTGATCACAAAGGCAGCAATCAGTCCAATGGCACTAGTCCCAGCAAACAAGTCAAGCAGCACCCAATGCCCTTATGTCTTCTAGAAATGTGAACAACCACAATAGTGAAAAGTGCAAAGCCAAAGTCTGGTTTCTCCCACTTTCTGGTTTGAACCCGAGCATGCATATCCCTCCAATCCTCCTCATTTTGCAATATCATATGCTGCACTCCATCTCTGACAATTGGTCCAACAGGCCCAACAAAAACAACACAGATGATATGAGCAATGGAGCTCCCAAATCTGTCATTCATTCCACTATTCAAGGAACAAATCACCAAAAGCAAATGCCACAATCCAACAAACTGACATGGGCAGGGAATGTATTGAAGAAGAGCCTTATCTGGTGCCACCTTTAAAAAAACAAAAACTTTGTCCTTTTAAGTGTATTCCTTTTCTTTATTTCATTCTACACTTTATATTTTTATATAAATAGATAATCATTTTTATCTGTCTTTTCAAAGAAAAACTATTTACTGATTGGTTGGCTCAGACTTAGTAATTTCCAATGCAGCTAGCTATAAAGATATCTCAGAACGCAGAGTGTGCTTTTGCCATACTCTTCTGAATCCTTCCACATAGTACTGTTGGAAATTAATCCATGAAGTTCTATCCCCAGCTGCTTCTGTAATTGATTAGGATAATCACAGCAATGCATTTCTTTGTAGAAGTGTCTATTTCAGTTTCTGGACAGCTTTTGCTTAAAAAAAAAAGGCTTATCAGGCATTTTCCACTTCGTAAGATTTCATTTGTTACCTAATGATTCATTTAAAATGTATAGAAAATTACCGTTATATTCTTCCAATGTCTTCTCTCCTAAAGTAAAACCTTGAAGAGACTTAGTCCAACTCCATGGCTAATGACTGCCCAGATTCTGCTTAATATTTTCCACCAAAGGAGAGCCATTGTAGGAGGCAATCTATAGCACTGCCAAGCAGTTATCACTGCTAGAAAGCTTTTTCTAATGTTGCAGCTGGAGTGCCCTATTTTGAAGCAATTTCTGCCCCTTGGCTGGACAGCAATAAAGATGACGCTCATCACAGATTATTCCTCTTGCGCCCACCCCACCCTGCCAAGCTCAGCTGATTCATGGAGCCATGCCTGAAGTAACAATCTATTATGGGTACAAATTACATTTAAAGCATGCCATCATAACACCAATTTAATCCCAGGTCTAGGTCATATGTCATGCCAAGCCTAATGATGTAATGTCTCAGAATGACATACAAGGAAGTTAAAAATTATTTTAAAGCTCTTAAGTTTTATAATCATCCAAAAAGCTCAGTGAGGACTGAACATGCCCATCGGGCACAGAACGCTGACCCTTGAGCTAAAACAAAATGGGGTAGAAGGGAAGGGGAAGTGAAATTATATTGCACAAAGACAAGGACCATAAGAATAAATAGGTCCTATTCTTTATGATTCATAATTATAAGTATCACATTTATATAATATGACCCAAGACAGTTACACTTTTTCTCCTTGCTTTACTCTTTAAATTAAAACTAAGAATTAGTATAGCATTTCCATAGTCACTTATAATTTAGGGAAGAGCTAATGATATAGGTTAATTGGATACCATCTCCATGCTTGTTTCCAAAAACCTTACCTGATGTTAAAATCAAAAAATCCTGAAGAGTTTTCTCATCTAGTTGACTAGACTTTCTGAGCAAAAGTTCAGTATGTAAATAGTTGTAAGCATTGTACATACTTCTGAGTTATATATTTCTTTTAATAATCCATATTAGAAATATGAAAAGACGGAAGTACATAGGTCTTTGTACTATAAACAAAACATTTAACCCAGCTTCTACTTAAGTACAACTAGAGAAGAGTGGACAAAAATGGCTTTACAATCTTCTATTCTAAATAATTTTCTGTAGCTAAAACATATGAGATGTAACCCAGCTATTACAGTATCTTTGAAAGTGCCAGTTCTGTGAGCAGTGACAGAACTCCCATCAGATATTGGGCATGGTGAATCTGTTAGAGAGAGAGAGAGAGAGAGAGAGAGAGAGAGGGGTATGCCATTAGATCCATGGAAACTAAAAAAAAATAATAATAAATCAACAAGGTTGTTGACTCATTTTAAAAAGATTTCCTACAGTTAATCTAGCCTTCAATATTTCAAACAACTAGAGAAAGCTAACTAACTTCAAAAGCTTAAAACAGAACATTGTGTACTTAATACCATGTTTCACTTTTACAACAAGACAGCTACAGCAGGAGGAAAAGAAAGCACTCTGTATCACAGTGTAAAATTAAAAAATATGAAAATGTGAAGACATTTTAAAAGCCTAAATTTTCTCTTTCATAATATTGAGTGGATCTTCCATTCTGAAAGTCTCTGTGCCTATTGCAACCAACACTTTTTTGGTTTGTAGTGGAATAAGATCCTCATGAGTCTTTCAGTCTAATCAAGGTTGCCACAGTTGCTTCCAAGCAGTCCATTTTGCAGGAACAAAGAAGCAACAGAGGGCTTGCAGCTGCAGCAATCTTGCCTTGATTCTCAACATTTTCTATTTTCTTTTTCCTTTTCTTTAAATTTCTGGACCTCTTTTTTTCTCTGGTCCCTCAGTCTAAAGATAGAGCTAAAAAGGTTAACTCTTTTCTATTAGCTCCATTTTCAGGTCATTGAGAAATATATAGCCAAGTCCAAAGTACTACTTCTCCTTACACTATTTGCAGATGACATTGCTGGGGAAAAAAACTTTGCATATGATCAGAATTGTCTAATGCAGTTTCAGACTATTCTTTCCACATATTTCTTTTTAAAGCAAATTCATTTACTGATCAGAAAAGCAAGCTGCATACCTTCATTTTTCCCAATGAATGGACAAAGGCTACAGATGTAGAAACTTTCACCAGTCGTGCAGCTGATAAATATATCTTGAAGTGCCTATGAAAGTGCTTGTAAAGGGAGTCCATGAATAATTGCACTTCTTCCTGTTTAACTTCCCCCTGGATGCTGTGTATTGAATCCCACAGAGCTTTTGCATCTTCAGGATGGATAGCATAAGAAATATCCAAAGGATAAGGCAGACAAGGCACAGAGAAAGTCAGTTCTGTTGCAAGCTTGTAATGATCCATACTGCATCCAGACCATATTGCAGCCATCCACGCAAGATGGATAGGACTGATGTGCAATGGGCTGAAGTAACAGTCAAAAGTTTGCTGAAACCAAGTTTCAACAATATTTGAGAAACCCTTTGGACCATTTACAAGGAACAAAGGCAAACAAGTAAAATCCTCTGTGACAGTCTCAACAAAATCACTTGCACAAGTACAACAGAAACAACCCATCCATACCACTTTGCCTTCTTGTTCTTCTTCTTCATCTTCATCTACCATTTGAGGTCTTTGTATAATCTAAAGAAAATTATAAATACATACACACATGAACAATACATATACTACAACTGTATGAAATTATTTGAGATAATATACATTTCTGAACTTAGGATAAATACATTAGCAAAAGTTATTCTCACATAATTTCTTTAACACTGTACTGTATCATATGCTACTTCAGATTCACGATGATCACATCACTTAAATTTTGATTTCATGCTTATTTTTCAGGGATTCTACTGGATTTATATGAACATATACCCTCCAAAACTACTCAGAATTACAGTCCTAAAGAATGATTTTCAAAACAAATTATTGGCAGATAACCTTTGGAAAGTATAGGAACCTACATATTCAGAAATAACATATTCCTAAATACCACAGCAGGGCCAGGTTGTTACCCTTATGCCTACATAAATATGTAGATGTTAAAGAGCAAGAGGATACTGGAGCAGAACATTTGGTCTGATTCTACTGAGCTTTTTTCATGCTACTTTACCAGTGAAAACCTGAATTTTGTAACTTTCCAACCCATAAAGCTTGAACGAAGGAGGCTCTGCTGCTGAGTAAGCCCATCTTCTCTCCCCATCTGTTTGCCCTTCAGTCAAAGGACTTAAAACATGCTTGAGTCTATATGTATATAGTAGAAAGGTTCCTTCTTTGATCTTTCTTAATGGATGGCATAACCTTTCACGAGAAAAATATTTTAGATTACACTGGATATGAATCATCTAGTGAAAAAACAATAGCAGTTAATCATAAAACCTTAATAGAGATATATACAACCATAGTAGATGGATAAACAAAGTTATCTAAAACAAAGGTCTTTTATAGATTGCCCACTATAATATCTTTCAAAAGTATCAAGATAAACCCATTGTTAGTAAAAGATTGGACTAACCTATTAGGTAAGACTGCTTACCTCAGTGAGGACTGCTGCTTGTTTTTTTCCTATGGTTTTCAAAATAGAAAATGAAGAAAACTTTGCTTTGAACATTAAATCAGTTTCATCTTCCAGCATGAATCTCTTTTCCTTTTGTGCAGTAATAACACAACTCAGTTGTTTAGAATATTCTTGTAACCGTCCATAAGAGAATTTATACAGAGGAGTGACACTGTATAAGGTCCACTGCTTAGATAAAATGAACTGTATCTGATGATCAGCATTTTCCTGCAATAAAAAGAAATTTTACAAATGCAAAATGTTTAGAAATTTTATAAATGTTGTTTAGAGTCTACATTTTCCTGTAGTTTACAAAATAGATGAAACATTACAAGGAATTGTTACATAATACTTTGTGCTATTTTTATATCTTTCTACCTTATTATGCTATTTAAAATCAGTATTGTATTGTTTTATGACCCAGAAGGTAGCAAAAAACAGGAAGAGAAAAATATAAAAGGAAAAAAATATACCACCATCCCTTTAATAGCAGAACAATATTATAAAGGAACACAATTCCTTTATTATATTGTTCTGCTATAAACATATTGTATTATACAATATAATTGATTTTAAAAATATCAAATGCAGGTAGTACATTTAGCAAAGAAAATGTGCTTTACATATGTAGGCTGGGTTTATATAGCACTCTAAGTCATAATTTCTTTTTTAAAAAATTGTGTACTCTAAATTATGATCCACTATTCCCTTTCTAGTAAGCAATGTTATGTACAGCACAAACAAGGAGCAAGAAATACTTAAACAGAAGAAACCAAAGGCTTGAGATAAGAAAAAGAAAAGGAAACAGTTAAAAGTAGCTTACATCAACACTATACATACTTTTGCATGCCTTTTTAGTTTTGCAAACCATCCTTGCTTTCCCAATGTCCATATATTACTTCATACATTGCCTATTGTATTTTAAACTTCTGATATCTTTTCTTGAGGATCTCATCTAACCACAATTTCCTCAGGCATCCCCTTCCTCTCAACCTATTTACACTTTCTTCAGTTGTTTTGCTATTTAGTTGTCACTCATTCTCTCTATACAACCTAACCATATAAAAATGGTTCTTTTGCCTGGGCCTTCGCTTCTATATTCAACCCACATTCAGTTGATGGATCCGTTTGCTTACCTTCAAGTCAGTTTTTGACTCCTGGTGACTGCTTGGATAAGTCTCTGCAGTTTTCTTGGCCAGGTTTTTCAGAAGTGGTTTGCCATTTTCTCCTTCCTAGGGCTAAGAGGGACTGGCCCAAGGTCACCCTGCTGGCTTTGTGCCTAAGAAGGGACTAGAACTCACTGTCTCCTGCTTTCTAGCCTGGTGCCTTATTCATTATACCAAACTGGCTCTCAGCTAGCATCATTTTATTATTGATCCTGTCTCTTCTTGTTTAAACACACAGGCAGTTCTTAAATACCTCAGTCTCACTGCTGTTGTTTTTTCTCACATACCCAGTTTTCACTTCCAGATAACAAAGTGGGCAGAAGTACACTGTTATACAATCAGTTTACCCACTTTTGATTAACATTTTTCCTTACTACCCACCATCAGCATTTGCACATCTTAAAATTTCTCCATCCATTTTCCCATTTTTCACCATTTATGTACAGTGGTGCTTAAATGTTTGTGAACCCTGTTGAATATTCATTATTTATTGAGGATCATTTTCCTCAATAAATTAATGAACAAGTATAATGCTTTTGACTTGTTTGTATAATTGGGTTCTCTTTATCTAGTTTTTAGGACTTGAGTAGAAAACAGATCACCTTTTAGGTCATATTTATGCAGAAATATTGAAAATTCAAAAGGGTTCACAAACTTTTAAGCATTGTATATCTTGCAACATCACCTTTTAGGTCATATTTATGCAGAAATATTGAAAATTCAAAAGGGTTCACAAACTTTTAAGCATTGTATATCTTGCAACATCACCTTTTAGGTCATATTTATGCAGAAATATTGAAAATTCAAAAGGGTTCACAAACTTTTAAGCATTGTATATCTTGCAACTGTTCACTTAATTTTCCTTGTCAAACAAAAGTATCCTCATGTTTGATGCATTAATTTTTAATCCATACTTATTGTTGCATCGTAGAATAACATTTGCTGCAAATCATTCAGATTCTCAGCCAACTGCATATAATCTGCATACAGAAGTAAAATATACAGTACTGTGCAAAAGTTTTAGGCAGGTGTGAAAAAATGGTGTAAAGAAAGAATGCTTTCAAAAATATATATTGTAATTGTTTATGTTTTTCAATTTACAAAATGCAAA